TGACAGGCCACGGAGTGGAGTGACAACCGCAGGGTGTAGCAGGAGTGTTCTGGGACTAGGATGATAGGCCACAGAGTGGAATGACAGCCCCAGGATGGAGCAGGAGTGTTCTGGAACTGGGAAGAGAGGCCCAAGAGTGGAATGATAGCCCCAGGCTGGAGCAGGAGTGTTCAGGGACTGGGAAGAGAGGCCCAAGAGTGGAATGACAGCCTCTGGGGGTAGCAAGAGTGTTCTGGAACTGGGATGACAGACCACAGAGTGGAATAACAGCCCCAATGTGGAGCAGGACTGTTCAGGGACTGGAATGAGAGGCTCGAGAGTGGAATGACAGCCCCAGGGTGGAGCAGGATTGTTCAGGGACTGGAATGAGAGACCACGGAGTGGAATGACAGCTCCAGGGTATAGCAGGTGTGTTCAGGGACTCAGGCAGAGTGTGACATGGAAAGGGAACATGGAGGTAAGGAAGGCATTGGAACTGGTAGAGGGACAAGGGCAAGATTTATAATTGACAGTAGAGGAGGAGGCTCATATCAACCTCATGAATTTGTAAGGAAATAAAGGAGCTGAGATGGAGCTGATGTGGTGATAGCTACACACATTCCAGAAATATTTAAATGAAAAGTATTTCACTCTACAGTTTGCAAATCCAGTTGCACAGAACTGCCTCTACCCCCAGGGTCTCTACTTCCTATCTGGGGCCTGTCATTCCAGGCCCATAAGACTCCTGCTACTTCCAGGGGCTGTCATTCCACTCGGTGGTCTCCCATACCATTACCTGAACACTCACCCCCAGGGGCTGTCATTCCATTCGGTGGTCTCGCATTCCAGTTCCAGACCACTCCTACAGCATCCAGGGGCTGTCATTCCACTCGGTGGTCTCCCATACCATTACCTGAACACTCACCCCCAGGGGCTGTCATTCCATTCGGTGGTCTCGCATTCCAGTTCCAGACCACTCCTACAGCATCCAGGGGCTGTCATTCCAGTCCTAGAACACTCCTGCTACTCCTAGGGGCTGTCATTCCACTTTGTGGTCTCTCCTTCCAGTCCCAAAACAGTCCTGCTACCCCCCAGGGGCTGCCATTCCCCTCCGTGGTCTCTCATTCCAGTCCCAGAACACTCCTGCTCCACCCTGGGGCTGTCATCCCACTGGGCCTCTCATCCCAGTCCCAGAACACTCCTGCTCCACCCTGGGGCTGTCATCCCACTGGGCCTCTCATCCCAGTCCCAGAACACTCCTGCTCCACCCTGGGGCTGTCATCCCACTGGGCCTCTCATCCCAGTCCCAGAACACTCCTGCTCCACCCTGGGGCTGTCATCCCACTGGGCCTCTCATCCCAGTCCCAGAACACTCCTGCTCCACCCTGGGGCTGTCATCCCACTGGGCCTCTCATCCCAGTCCCAGAACACTCCTGCTCCACCCTGGGGCTGTCATTGCACTCTGTGGTCTCTTATTCTAGTCCCTGAACAATCCTGCTCCACCCTGGGGCTTTCATTCCACTCTGGAGCCTCCCATCCCAGTCCCTGAACTCTCCTGCTACCTCCAGGGGCTGTAATTCCTTTTTGGGGCCTCTTATCCTAGTTCCAGAACACTCCTGCTACCCCCAGAGGCTTTCATTTCACTCCGTGGTCTCTCATCCCAGTCCCAGAACATTCCTGCGATCCCCAAAGGCTATCATTCCACTCTG